TCGTGGTACTCGTGGTACTCGTGGTAGTGGTAGTGGTAGTGGTAGTAGTTGTAGTAGTAGTGGTAGTAGTAGTGGTAGTAGTAGTGGTAGTAGTAGTGGTAGTAGTAGTAGTAGTAGGAGTAGGAGTAGGAGTAGGATAGTAGTAGGAGTAGGAGTAACTCCTACTACTACTGCTACTGCTACTGCTACTGCTACTCCCACTACCACCACTACTACTACTACTACTACTACTACTACCACTTCTACTTGTACTGCTACTGCTACTGCTACTTCTACTGCTACTACTACTACTACTACCACTACCACTACTACTACTACTACTACTACTACTACACGACGACGACGACGACGATGAGGACGACTACTACTACTGCTACTAATACTACTACTACTGCTACTGCTACTGCTACTACTGCTACTGCTGCTTCCTCTACTACTATGACTTCTGCCTCTACTATCACTAACATTTCTACGGTTGCTACTTCTTGTACATCTACTGTCGTTGCGTTGTTACTGCTACTACTGACTGCTATTACGGCTATTGCTGCGACGGCTACTGCTGCTGCTGCTGCTGCTGCTAGTATTATGACTACTACTATTTCTACCACTACCAATACCACTACTACCATACCACTACTACCACTACTACAACTACTACTACTAGACTACTACTACTACTACTACTACTAGTACCACTACAACTACTACCGACACTACGACGACTACTACTACTACTACCACCACCACTACGACTACTACTAGAATTGCCATAGAATTCAATTGGCCCAGGTCGAGGCCGTCAACCTTCGAATGGGTGGCTATGCCAAGACCCCACTTCAGTTTTGCGCCAAACCAGCAAATGTTCAACTAGAGACGCCGGGCAAACCGATGCAGTCGCAGCAGACTCCCCTCAGACAAGAGGAAACCTTTCTCTCTTCAAAGACGAGGTGAGGCCTGCCTGCGAGAAGTGCGGCAACAAAGGGGCTGGAGCCTTGTAAAGATCACGGTTCAGTTGAGGGGAAGTCGCATTGGTGTGCGAAGTTGCGTACTGAAGGCGGAGGTTCCTGACGACGACTTTGACCATTCGTTGGATGATGCGGAGATGTCATGATCTCAGCATGGTTCCGATACTCAACTACCGGCCAGTCCCTGAAATCACACTTCCTTGTTGTTTGGTTCTATGGCAGCCTCAGCAGTCCCAAGCCTGTCCTAAGGCTCTTCGGGTACGGGCGGAGCGACCCCAGTGCTGCTTGCTGAGAGTGAAGCGTGTTTCTCTGCAACATCTTCGAGCATGTGTCAGCCAGTGAATGGGATAGGGGGGTCCTAGGTGATATTGTATACTAGGTCTACAATGATATCCTCACCCCCCATATCATGCAATATCGTGCAATTCATTGAGGTACCTCTCTTTTTTCTTAAACTTGTCGCAGCGCCAAGGCCATGTTGTCCTGCAGCAGATACACAAAAATCACAGCATTGGCTGGGCGGGAGGCCTCGCTCTCACGGGCCAAGCTGCTTCTCGGTAGGAATCGAGAGCGGAGGTGTCTTCAGGTCTGTAGACGATCTTCATGTCCAGGGCTGAGGAAACTGAGCACAACTGCAGATCAAGATCCGCTTTGCTTGGCCCTTTCTGCATCGATGGTGTTTCCGATCATAGCCCCTGAATGCGAATAAGCAGCGACCAACAGATTTTGAAGCGAAGGAGATTCAGTCCTAGGGCTTGCCATGCTAGGACAGTGAGGTCCAGAGTCCAGAGGGAGCGCATGACTTAGTGCTGGCTCATTGACCAACTAATGCTACCTGAAGGCACTGGGACAGACCTAGGTATTGGCAGCAAAGCTTGTTCACGAGAGTAGTGGCAAGGACGACATGAGATGACAAAAACCTTGGTAGTACTGCGACTACTAACCAATGCGGCCAATAGGACGAGCTTCCCACAGAAGAGAATCGTAGCAGGAAGAGTGGCAAATGCAGAGCTGTATCGGAAGCTAGATAATTAGATAAGCGAGAATGACACCAAATTGTAGTATTTGCAAGAGTAAGTAGTGACAGCAGAACCAGCGCCCATTCGTCTTGGAGGTATTCTGGCGCAGCAGCTTCAGCACACCGGTCAGGGATGTGGGAACCTCAGGACTACAGTTTCTTCGTCCAGAGTCCGTCATGAGAAGACGAACATTCGGGGATCAGGGGCACTTGTTTATGGTGTCTGGCCAGGCCGGCATATTACATAAGGCTTGGGGAACAGAAATCTGGGCTGAGGTACGGTGCATTCGCATCCAAGTCACTCGTGCACGGTGCTCAGATACCACAGGTGCCAAGCAGTTCCAACCGAAACTAGATTACTCCTTACTTCAGGGTTCCCTCAACTGGGAGGTGTTGTAGTACCGCAGCATCAGGGGTATTAAAATTAAAATCGCCATGATGACTGTTACTACGAGTCACAATGTGAATGCATTCTTCTCTGTCTTGGTGATAAGCATCGCAATTATTATTGTCTTTACTGTCAGCATACAGCACAAAAACTGCAGCTAGCAGCAGTAGCAGTAGTAGTAGCAGTAGTAGTAGGTGGTAGTAGTAGTAGTAGTAGTAGTAGGAGCAGCAGCAGCAGCAGCGGAAGTTAGCGGCCTAGGCCCAGCAGCATCCGCTGGTGCTGCGTGGTATCCAAGTCCGAACCACGAAGGCTGATCCGGAAGCCTGTCGCCGATTTGGAGTTTAGGCTATCGATCCAGCTATGTCTCTGCCTCGTCCTTCTTCCAATGCCGTGATTGAGTGTCGTGTCAATACAATTAGTATTGGTACTGGCTTATTCTTGGGGCATCTTGGGGCAGTGGGGGTGGCTGATTCTTTGCATCAGGGGTCCTTGCAAACAGAAGGGTCTATGTTAACGTACTGTGTTGTCTGAAGGTCCCATGTATGCCGATATTCAAACGGGAGACTGTGTCTCTGGCCAGGCGAAACAAGGGAAGGCAGTTGCCAAAGTTGCCCGGAGCTGAATAGAGCCCATCGTCCGCTGAAATCTGGTGGACTCTGCTCTGCAAGCCGCCGAGGCACGTGCCCCCCTACGGCCTGGCGGGTGGCTTTTCAGCAACATAGTCTGGTTCGAAGCCAGCAACTACAGAACAGTGGGGCAGGGGCAGGGAGCCCTAGGATGCCTTTTCAGCGCTCAACTTCTGCTGAAGATGCTAGGCTTGCAAGTCCAAGCCCTGCCGCCCTGCGCGGTGCGCGTCAGGCAGGCACCGCGCATACATGCTGAGCCACAGAGACTGAACTGTAGGCTTGGTACACACCGAAGTTCACACGTGTGGCAGATGTGAGTCTGTGGATCTGCACCACCCGGAAGTTTGCTTTCGAGAGCTGGTCAGGTGAACGGATGGAGTGAGCAGCACCTGGAATGGGCCAACACCCCAGTGCTAGAGAAGCCCGTGTTCCTGTCAAAGCTTGAGTTACACATATCTAAGTCAAAATATGTCTGAGTGTACACGACCGGAGGCAGCGGAGGCAGCTAGAAAAGCGGTGGCACATCGTCCTGGCCACATACAAGCCAGGTTTTGCTGACTTCGCTGGCAGCTTTTGCGGGCGTAGTGCCCTCAGCATCACCAGTTGCGTCAGGTGTTCAAGACGACCTTCAGTAGTCCAACCACCCTAGCAAAGCTCTGGAAGCAGCCAAGCCTCCTTGCCGGCTCTTCATCGACTAAGCTCGACGACATCTACAATTCAGCTTCTCCTCGCAAGTGGCAGAGCGCTGTAGACCAGGGGACACACCAGGCTGCGCACAAGATGCCATTCCAATTCATAATCAATCGTTCCTGAAAGTTGTGGTGCTAGCCAGAGGCCTTCGCGGGTGTCCTGGGCAGCTTGTTCAACGGCAAGCCGCCAAAACGACGTCGAAAAGTGATGTCGGGATGAGGCTTCTTTCACATTCTGTCGTTGCTCGCGCAGCTGCTGCTAATTGTATTTTTTACTGAGCTGCTTTGTGGCACCTTCCACACGTCTGAACGAGGCACCTTTCCTAGTCCACGGCCAGCTTCTCGCGTCATTTGCTGCCAGGAACGGGAAGCTCGTGAGAAGTCACGACCGGAGCAGAAGATGCCATGCACAAGCCGGATGACTGTCGAGGTTGGATTAAATGCCTCCTTCCCATGTCGCTTGTCGTTTTTGTGAATGTGCACTCCCATCATCAGCATGTGTTTCTGCTTTGCGTTACGAGAATCCTGCAGGTCTTCTACAAGCTAACATGGTCAACATCTACGAAATCTGCGCGTGGTTTCAGCATCTGGCGACCAAGTCGTGGAGCTTCTTAGCCATGCGGCTGCCATAGGCCGTCGGAGAGTCCGATTTGCAGGCTGTACCCTCCCCATGCATGCCTGGATCGCTTGTTCGCTGCTGCCGTCGCAGGGTAGCTGGCTGCAGCCTTGTTACTTCTAGAAGACAGTCATGCAGGTGCTGAGATCATTAGTGTGGACCCTAGGATCAAGGTTGCAAGCCAGCACGGTCAGCGACACTCGCTGGCAATGCAGCAGTCCCACGAGCACGGACGACATCCAGAGAGCAGCATCGCAAAATTGTGGAGCGAAAAAGCTGGAATTTGTCGAGATCATTAGATACTAAGGTCTAATAACAAGAGATTCTGTGTCTTGACTGGCGCTGAAGCAGTCTGCGAAAGCTTAGATATTGGGGCTGGTCATCTGATAGCCATAGTTGCGTGGCCAGGCAGACCCCAGCTGACACCATGGCTTCAATGTTGACTTGAGGGCTCCATGTCAATGTCGTGTCTCCTTGGCAGATGAGCTTCCAAGTGTTCATGAGATTCTGATCAGTAACAAAGGCAAGGTCAGGTACTGCGGCGACCAATGAAAGAACGACCCACGCAGGCAGCCGGCGAGGCTGAAACCTCTCAGTTGCCTTTCTTCATTGGTGGCCTGCTGGTTGCCCTGGCCGGAGTCGCTGCTCTTGCGTGCGGCTCCTAGAAAGAGAGTGGTATGTAGTTACAGGTCCCAGAAATTTCCGAGTTGCACGTCCTTTCAAACTCGAGACAGCTTGTTTCGTATGGGCTTAGAATAGCTTTATGGTCACGATGTGGTTGAAGAAGGGTGGTCCCAGGACCTCAGCAGCCTTAGTTCTACTGCTGTCAGCACCAAATCCCCAACCCCGTCATCCCTCAGCCTCAAACCTCGTTCCCAGTCAATCCGTCTCTTCATAAGAACTCCACAGTTGTTTTTGATTGTGGCAGCTTCGGCTGGAGGTCTTGCATGCAGCCAAGCCCAGAGTTTTTATTTTGAGCTTATTATGGCAGTGCTGCTAAATCAGCCATGTTCAACAGAATTTGATTGCTGCACAATTAGGGCAAGGGCGATGTGGTAAGTGTCAGCAACACGTGCCACAATCCGGTCGTTTGGTACTAGTGTCTCTCTTTGTTGCTGCACGCCACATGCAACAAAGAGAGCGCGAGTATGAGACGAATAATACCGTCAAGGAGCCAGCCAGACCCGGCTGCAACTACGCGACTCCACGATACAAGAGTTGCTGGTTCATCAACAGACCCACAAGGCTTGGCGGCGAGACTTACGATGATGTGGACGACAAGAAGGTCCGCTTTTCATGGGTCGCAGATGCATCATGAAGCATCTTCATCAAGCGTCGTGAGTGCAGCAATTTTACGGGCCCAAGTATTTGTAGAGGCTCGACAAAGCCTTCATCATCAGTGCGTGCGGGTTTTCGCGACAGTCTGGCTCTTGTTGACGTGATGCTCTGCTGAGGTTGTTGAGGAGTACTTCAACACCACAGGATCGGCCGCAACGTTAAGCACTGAAGCTTTTATGTGGTCACCGTGGAATTGAACCCGGAACTGCCTGCGAAATGGTAGTTGTGGTGCAGTGCAGCAATCGCGACAGGTCGATGAAGCCAGAAGCAGATGACAATAGCAAGAATAGTACGAATTACTAATCATAGTAGTAATATGTAGTAAAAGATTAAGAAGAATAGCAATGACAGTTGCATACCACCTTCTTACGCCGATGCCACGCGCATGAAGGCTTCGAGAGATGGCAGAAGATCTACGGAGAAACCGACGATGTAAACCCGGTGCAGAAAGCAGCTTGGCAGTCCTAACTGATATAATCTATGTACAAACCAACTATATATATATATATTTATTTATTTATTTGTATCTGCTCTTATTTGTTTGTTTATTTATTTACTTACTTATTATTTTTATATTCATTTGCATGTGTAGATATATGTATGTATATATATATGTATAATTGTTTATTTCTTATTTATTTTACTTTATGCTTATATTATACTGTACACACACACACTCTGACACAAACACACACACACACATCTGCGTGTCTCTGTGTTTCGGTGCACGGCATATTCGAGATTATTGATCTGATAGGAATTGGCAAGACGATCTATGTTTTCGATCATGGTACCCCTGATTTTGGATCAGGTTTGTTCAGCCTTCCCTCTCAAACTTGTGTCGAAAAGACTGCGTCTGCAGATTGAGGCTATGCCGAGATCACAATTGGAAGAGTGCCCCAAAACCTGCCTGGGGATGACCCCCTGGTTTCTTTGAGTCTTGGGAAGACTTCTGGGAGGTTTGTTGGACCCTCACATTGATTGAAGGAAAGCCTTGCTTCTTGCGTAATTCCACCGAAGGATTTCTTGAACAGCGCTGTGGCTGACTTCTATGTGACGCAGTAGTTATATTTCAGGTATGCTTTAACCTCGCACTGTGCAGACAGAATGCAGTACCCAACAGATGATGGGATTTTAGAATCATATGTACGAACATACATGCGTAAGCACAGGCATGGGATGAGATAACCACAGGCCCCAGCAGCCGATGCAATCTGAAGCGAAATTGCCTGAGGACATCCGGGTGGGCCATGCGCAGACTGTCGACAAGATCTTGGGCTGGCTGGAGCGGCCTCAGGGCCTTTTTTTGGCTGGGGTGTTACGATTAAGGTGCTGGCAGCAACAGTATAAATGTAAACGTGTGGGGAACAACGTTCGACTAGTAGCTGGACGAGAGAAAAAAGCAAGGAAGGAGAAGAGCAGGAGCGGGCATAGGAATGTAGTCAATGTAATACCTGATGATACTGTCTCGAACGGAGGTGTACCTGTACCGCTTGCATATACGAGCACAGTCATGCAGCATTCTGAAAAAAATAGTGCTACTGTACAGGGCGAACTTATATTGCAGTATCTAGAAAGTTTAGCAGTGCCGTCTATTGATAGTCAACCCAGAGTAGCTCATGATGACATATGGAAACACATGAAGAGTCATCCAGCTGTTATTCGCGAGTGTATCACAGTATACAGGCACTACATGTAGCAACAAGCCATGTGGTTAATTACCTGCACAGATATACATACGTGTGCGTATGTGTATTAGACATAACAGATGTGTGCACATCCACAGCGGTATATACTGATTAGACGAATATCGTTCAGGGCGTGGCGTGGGCGATGTTTTGTGTTCTCGAATGGCATAGCGTCAATGACTATCCCTTGGCCGAACAGGATCCAAACACAATCTCCGGCAAGACTGTTTGCGATGCGGGGCGTGGTTCTCAGTGGTGTTTATTGGGCAGGGGAAAGTCTGAAGGCTTAAACGGGCAGCTCTCAGGTCACTCCATCACAATATCGAGTGCTCCGTCTCGGAGTCCAGTCCGTCCGTGTGTCTGATAGTGTCGTTTCTTACAGGCAGAGTCGAGGTCGCGCTTCTGGCGGTGACCAAGATGCGGAGGGGAGGCTACAGTAAGCACAGTCAGGCCTCGAAGAGATGACTGGGTAATAGATCCCCTATTATGGTAACTTATATTTACTATAGATCCCCTACTATGGTAACTTAAATTAACTCCCTTAAAAACAAGAGCCCAGCGATGAGGTGCGGGACGGGCAGCCTCTCTATTCCGCTGGCCAGCCGCGGGGCCATGGTGTGTACCTCAGGCCTTCTCTGTAGGTTCCAGTACCACGGTCTGGAATAGTCATGCGCATCTTAGTCATTGTGTCCCAGTCTTTGCAGTGCCCTTTAGGTTCACATCATGTGACGAGTTTGGGGGGGCGTCCCCAAACCTCAGCCTCATACTATGCAAGCACCAGGCTTGTTGACCGCCGGATAGGCAGCGCCCTAAACCTGTGCCAATCCTGCGGCCCCCACCCTACCCAGTACGGCCCTGCGACGCATGCGGCGGTGATGTTTTTAAGTGTCCATGCATCTGCAAGACGGCCAGCAGCCCAGGTCAACGGCAGCGACATTAGTTCTGCTATGGTTGGCGAGGCATCCGCACCAATATGCTTCAGAGAATAATTAAGAGGAAGCCCCCGAAGTTGCCGAAACACCCACATGTGCTGGGACTCACGCCGTGTTGCTCAAGCACCCTAGCAGGCCGAAGTTCGAGCCAAAGACTCGCTACCAGCAGAGAAGCTGCCAAAGTTCAGTCCTCGGAGAAAGTGCAGAGACTCATGGCAATGTTTGGCGAGAAGCGGGACAGTATTCTTGAGCAGCACTGGTGAATTTTCGATCAGTTCTTGTGCTAGACGCCGTGAAGCATGTGGTTTTGCCCGAGCGTAGCTTCCGTCGAACTTGTAGCTAACAGGGTTGTCGCTACGGTTTCGTTTTGTTCATGAGGCTGCATTTGGCCATTTGATCAGTAGAGACTTTGCAAGTTCAACCGAAAAAAGCATGCAACTAGCTTGCTTGCGGTTGGCTGCATGTGATGCCAGGTTCTCAACTTCTGACCTGGAGGTGCAGTACTCCTCGTACAAACACCAGTGAAGTCCTAGACATTTATCGGCAGCAGAGTGCGGCTGCTTTACCTGCGTCTGTCGGACACCTGAGTACTCACCACGCAGGCGATCTCTGGTTCGTACGACACGGTGTGCTGCGTGGATGTGCGCCATGTCTCGGAGGGCCATACCACATCAGAGGTCTACTTACTGTAGAAGAACAGAAGGTACATCATGTACACAAAATAGCATATCAGCTACATGTGTTGCACATATGTTGAGATATATATATATATAGAGAGAGAGAGAGAGATACACATACATATCTGTATGTCTGTCGTACATATTTTGAAGTATCTAACACAGAACATATATACATATAGAGTTATGTATTATTATATACATGTGTATATATCGATATACAGAGTAGATGTTGTGCAAAACCCAGTATATAGTTCCTATGTGGTATCAGCATGCGTATTTATAATTTGTTTCTTTATGTATAGTAAAAATGTAACAAATAACATGTATTTGCAACATGCAGCATGCTTTGTTTAAGGTACACTTTATAGCATGTAATGAACAACTTGCAATGTACACTAGATAAGATGTAAGATGTGAGTTCTAGCATCTAACTATCTAATACACAGCATGCCACCTGCAATAGATGGTACATAATATATAGTTATGGCCTACATAACATATGGTAAAGAATATCAAGAATATCTACAACCTAACATACATATATATATATAGATATATATATATATAGAAAGGAAAGAAACTAGATGCAAATTGATAAGGCTCTGTCTCTCTCCTAGCAGGTACTCATCCACTACCCGCCAGACAAGATGTCTGGGATGGTGCAGCATTTGGCAGGGTGCGCCCGCGGACCTGAGTGAGTGAGTGAGAGTGTGTGTGTGTGTGTGTTCGGACAAATAGAGTTTTCCATCAGATACAAATACCCGGTGGTACTACGACGCTTGCGGTCACATTGCTTCACCACGCCGTGGAGCAAATCCCACTTCTTCATCCAGTTTGGGTTGTCACGAGTTTGTTGAAAGACTGTTGCAGTAGCTGACAGAAACGATGCTCTGAGGCTCAGCAAGGAGAGACTGATCTTGTCGTTTGCGCCCAAGACTTGGTCAGATCCTCGGCTTTCGCTGGAGTCTTTTTTTCCCGCTGCTTCATGGGGTTTAGGGTTGGGTTTAGGGTTTGGGGTTTAGGGGAGCCCTTTGACAGGATGTGCGTTTTCATTCTCAGCGTACTCCTTGAACATACCCAACAGTATCGAGTCGCTTGTGTCATCCGTTCCGATGCGCAAGGGAGGCCGCGACAAAGTCTAGCGGTGGTTTGCATCGGCCACCGCAGTGCAACACGAGGAGCCTTGAAGCGGCCAGTAGCGAGTAGTGACTCCTCTTGCTACTTGTGGGGGATGTGTCTCAGCAAGTAACAGTACCGAGTACCCACGCACCGAAGCCAGGCCAAAAGCAAAGGCCAAGCAGAGAGTGAGTTGAAAATTGGAAAATCCCGGAAAATCGCAGGTACTACAAACTGCTCAAGCGAATCGGTGAGCTTTTCCCTGGCAAGTCCAAAACCACTCGCAGCTTGGCAGAAGTTCAGATCCGCCTTTGCCGCAGAGCTACTGACAGAAGCAGTTGCTGTGTCTCTCTCTGTTCTGTATTTTGGCAGAAGAAAACAACCTTAGAGAAGTTGCATCGTTCATGCAGGTGCATACCTCCATGATGAGGCAGATGTGGAGGCAGCCAAAGAAACGCTGTGATTTCTGCAACGCTTGTGGGGAAGTGCAGGATTTGCTTGGCCTTGGCTCTTGGATTGCACCGCAGGCCGCACTGCAGCAAGCAGGTTACCAGGCCGATGGCTTAGTGGTTGAGCACGCGGTCACATCCCACCTCGCTGTGCCGAAGTCGGTCGAAGAGACCACGATCGTCACCCAGCAATACCCAGCATGCGCATCAACGGTGACGCACATTTGGCCCAGGTCACCCGCAAGGACATGACAGCCACCAACTTCTACTTCTCGCGGCTTTTCGAGGCTCGACCAAGAGCCTTCGGACCGGAGAAGCCCTCGAAGCTTGAGGCCAAGCCGGTCGCGTCCTGAAGGCCTTGGGGCCATGAGAGTGAGAGCCTTGCACAGAAAACGATATCTCAACCTCCAAAGTTGGGAGGTTTGAGGGACCACTGTGTGATTCCCTCATGCAGTTCTTCAGCGTATCGCTGGGAGTGCCAGCCGCAGGGTCTCCAGATGCCACCAGGACTCACACGTACAACCGTGAGGCATGGAAACCGTATGCTTCGTGAAGTTCAGCTAGTTTGCGTTACTTCCCTTAGGATGGTTCAGCTTCCCAGAGTCCTAGAAAGATTAAAAGGCTTCTTCGGAGTTGCGGGCGGCAACCCAGGCGCCCCAAGCTTACGGTGGCCTCGTCAGCCGAGCTGACGCAAATCGCGCACCCAAAGTACAGCGTCTCAAGCCATGAGCTCGTGCAAAAAGTCCGAGCCAAGCAAGTCCGCCAAGTATTGGGCCTGGAGGGTTTGAGGGTTGAAGGCTTAGAGGCTTCTAGCTTTACTGCAGTTTGAACTTACTCCCAGCGCCTCTTTAGAGAGGCTTTGGCTTGGAGACACCTTTTGTTCTGCGTTCATGTGCCAATATAAAAATAACTATAATGATAAACAAACAAACAATTGAATACATATTGCGTATACATATATAATATATACATACATATATATATATATATATATATCATGTATATAATGTACAACAACATACAAATATGTAGTACATACATTAGCATATAGAAAGAGGTTCTGGAGCAGATGCAGACCGCCATCTGCGACGACAGAACCTCAGCCGACTGTTTGTTGGCTACAACGCCATCTTGTATGTACAGTTTGTAGTACATTGTCATAACAATAACACTGGAGATGAAGCACGAAAGCGCAGGGGCAACAGAGAGGCAGATGCGTTGGGAACTACCACTCGTGTTTGGATGGCTTGGCAGACGGAAGAGGAAGACCGCATGTGACGAGGATGAAGGAGTCGTTAGTCCGTACTGCACAGTTCCCAAACAGTTCTGATCGCTCTCTGTCGGTCGTACTAACGATGTATATATTGTCGTAATACAGGTTGTTACATGCTAAGTAACAGGCAATGACACATACAAGTAACAATATGTTATCTAACACATGGTGCTGGAAGTATTTATGCAGTCGTGGTTCGCAGCCGTCAGCTTTCCGACACAGCGAGAAGCCCCAGACGCGGAAGCTGCCATGGAGTTTAGGTTTGCTAGTCCTACACGGGATGGCATTAAGGGTCGTTCGTTTCAGTTGTGTTGCATCGAGGCCGTCAAAGAACAGTGTCACTGGAATGCACATCATCCTTGGGCACGAGCAAAATCGCCGAACCCACCGTCGCGACTGCCGGACAGAATCCCTGAATCATCCGAGAGAGATCGATCTGCCTCGAGTTCTTCTCCAACAGACTCTAACATCAGCAATCGTTCGTACTGCCCTGTGACCGCTGGAGTCCGCTGGAGCGGGTAGTTGGCTTGAGCCCCAAAACCAGGAACCAGCTGAAAGCCGGAGCACTTATGGCCGCCATAGCAGTCACCCAAGCAAGCATGAATCCCCTGCCACGACCCTCCAACTAAGAATCCATGTTGCCTCCAGCATGACATCTTCCAGCTTCCCAACTGCGAACCCGACATGTTTCTCAGCCACGGAAGGTCGGAAAAGCCTCCCAAACTCAGCTTCTGATACCCTGACACAAGCCTGGAAGCCCCCTTGCCATGGCCAGCGATGGGAGCGCTGCCATGGCGGCGGTGGGATTCCACCGCGGGGTGCCGGAGGAGTCGAGCTTTTTTTGGTATTTTTGACCTTAACTCTTTTGTTCTCGTAGTGAATGGTAGTATAGAGCTCAGATTGCAGGATTGAGTCGGGTCTGAGTCGTCTGAGTGTCTCGCTTGCACGAGGGCCTGGAGATCGTCAGGGTGTCTGTTGCGTCCCTTGCCGAAACCAGGGTCCGACTGGCACCCGCAAAACTTCTCTTCTCTCGTCCCTGCTCCGCCCCACTTTAGAGGATTACAAACTCTCGCATGCTTTCAAAGTCTTGGTGCTTGAACGTGTTGACTGCCACCGGTGTCGACATGTGAATATCTCGATCCTGTTCTGAAGGACGAAGGCCTCGATGGGAAGGCCTTTGAAGCCCATCGGCACAGAATCAAGCAGCACTTGGATCCCTGGTGGCAGAGCAGGAGAGACGGAGAGAGGCAGAGAGAAAAGATCCCTCATGCCCGGAGGAAGAAGAAGAGGAGCCCTTGAGACCTGCAGGGCAGATTCGTGCGATTTTCCCCTTGTCTGCGCTGATGCAGAGAGACTTGGAGAGTGGGAGATCCTCCACTATCTCTTCCGGCCCGGACAGTGTGCGACGTTGCTCAAGGGTGTGGGCTTGCGTGCGTGCTTCGTCTGCTGCAGACGGATCCACAGTTCGGGGTGCACTAGTGATCACTAGTGCTCCCGAAAGAAAGGCAGGGAGAGCCCGAGGGAGAGAGAGAGAGAGAGACGGCCGGAGGGACACCTTTTTCTCGGATTCCTGGTCTGAAAGCTGTTTGCGAGAGCCAAGGGCCGAATCAAAGACAGAGTCGGCTGTTTTCACTTAGGAGAAAGAGTGCAAATCACAAAGGCAGAGGTACAAATACGTTCCGTGCTGATACATACTTCTCATCCCCCCAAGCTCCGAGATTCTGAAGGACCGTGGCGTCTTTCCTGGATTTGCAGAGGCTGCGATTTCCAACGGCAAAGTGGTATTCACGAGACTTTCCGGAAGATATTCAGACACACATGCAAAAGCTGGACAGCATGCATATGTTCAGAGCCCTGCTTGCCCGCGGAACGGCATATCCCATCATGGCTAGGCTACGGTTACCTGACATCCGAGGAACCTATGTGGCTACACCGACAATAGCAAAAGGCACCGAATGTCACCGCAGACCTTGTTCCGCGGGTGCCTTCGCACACATTGGATTTGAAGATCTGTCTAAGGCGGGCCCTGGCTTCTCTGGTGTCGCGTGATGATCCGAAGGTACTCCATGATGAAGCCCATCACTGCCACAGCCTTCATGAGTCTGGTGGACGATGGCACAGTGGGGCTTCATGACCCTGTTCACCGGTACATCCCCAGCTTCAAGGATCTTCAAGTGCCCGGTCTGACTTTTGAACTGAGGCTCGAGAGCGAGACAGAGGGAGGAGAGAGAGAGAGAGAGAGATGTGTGTGTGTGTGTGTATATATATATATATATACATATATATATATATATGCTACCCCCCCCTTCCAAAACCTATCTCGAAGTCTCTTT